GAACGAATTAAGTTCGTGAACCGAGGTACCACTGTAAATGCTTTATTTCAGGAACGGGCAACGCATGGTCCTTCAGATGTTGAATTCCAACTTCCATCAGACTTAGACAACATGCTAATGATGAGGGATGATGGCAATTGCAGGCTTAAAATCTGGATGATGACATATTGTCTGTACCAGACGGTCACAGTTTAATATGTGGGGAGCCCAGAGACTAAATTCATAAATGATGCTAAACTATTCACTTAACCATGTTTCCTGAATAAAGTACTATACACTAAGATAAATCCCCCAAACATCGTATGGTACAGGATCATCTGTACCAGCCCCAGCCAGATTCATTCTGGAATCAAGACAATAGTTTTCTCACTGAATATAACATGTATTGGAGATTACTGATGTTTTTGTTTTCAATTTCAGTTTCATGCTACTTCTCTTGCACAACAAACTACATCTCAAAGTTGTTCTTGCATCTTATAGATCAAAGTTCTGAATCCTGTCCTGATTTCTGATCCATTGTATAAGTTTTCACACAGTTCTGTTTTTATTCCTATTAGGATTACAGTAACCCTTATCGGAGACGTCGTAATATTTTCACCTACTTGTAAGTAACATCCAGTAGTGTTTGCAGCATGTTGTCCTCTCTTGTCAAAGACTGTCGTCGTTTCTGAATTACTTCATAGAAAATAGATTTTATTTTATGATGGGCTCTGTCTCTGCATCTGAAATTAAAAACAAGTTGTAAAATATGAAAGCCTTGGATTTTGCAGATAATACTTTTGAACTTTTCATTTCCCCCTAAGTTCTTTTTTTAGCACTAGACAAAAGATATATCAAATTTGAAAAAGGGCTACTGTAGGGCAGTGCCAGAAACTAGCAATTACTTACTGAAAGCAATCCATTGCCTGATCTGCAATTCCCAACCTGGTTCAGGATTTTTGTTTCTTTTGCATTTGGAGAACTGACCCATTACACTTTGGTACTTGAATTTATTGCCTGCACTCTATAATTTAAGGTAAACCTAAGCAGACTGGATAAAATTCTCATCTAGTTGCTTATTCTGGAGGTTCCTATAGATTTTTTTTAGCTGCTTTCTCTATTGCTCAATTGCATTTAACTTCTGCACTAGATGATCCCCAAGATTCTTTCCAACCCTTATATTCTATTCTTCCAGCTTACAAATGGTAGACATGGTACAATCACAGTTCTATTCAAACACTGGTTAACAGGCAACCTTTGACGAACTGACCACAATCTATGCCAGTGTTTCTCAACCTTAGCAACTTTAGTTTTATGGACTTCAACTCCCAGAATTCTGGGAGTTGCCAAGGTTGAGAAACAGTGATCTATGCTGATGGGAAGTAGTTATATCTAAGAATAACTGAAAAGACACAAGAGTCCCTACAACCATCTTTCAATCCTGACTGAGAGTTTTGAAGAGTTTTTCATTTACAGATTTACCATACTGTATAAGCTGAGAATTTTAGGTTCCAAAATACAATCCCAGAATTGGTTTCAGCTCATCCGCAAGTATATACGGTAATTCTTTTTTACCATTAAAAATATGCTATCTGCAGATAAACCAATTGTGAAAATTAAAACATACAAAAATTTCGAGGGTCGGCTTATCCACAGATGGGCTTATCTGCGAGTATATATGGTACTTGAAAAACAAGTTTCTAAGATTCGAAGGGGCAAAACTGACAGCACCTTGCAGTTCAACTGGGGAAGACTAGATTCTGTCCTGAAGTAATGCTGGGCTTAAAGAGAGATAACCCTTACACAGAACTCAGAACATGATGGTGAGAAAACAAGAAAAAATTGTAATAATATGTGTTAGCCTTGCGAGGTGGTCCAGACAAGGAGCACAACTGGGAGTACTAGCTCTGTGTTTATTGTAAGGTTACATTAACAGAATCTTGCAAGTCTGAAAGTATGCCTCCCGTCCCTCACTTTTACTCTCCTGAAAACTAGGGAGGATCCCTTCTGAGATGCTTTTGCCACCCCTCCTCCTTTGGACTCAAATTTCATTTATCAGACTGTTGTCTAGGCTGAGGCTCTTCTTCCTGTCTTCAAAGATAATTCCCACATACCATTATATATTTATTTGATTAATAATATTTTCGGCTGATCAAACTAAGTACCTGAAGCTGGGTAAAGGCAGCCACCCTGGTAAGAGCCACGCAGCATGAGTAAATCCCCCATCCAAATCAGCGTAGAGCTGTGCTACTTTCTCATTGAGAATGCTTCTTATTTCCTTCCCATGTAAACAGTGGCTTGCTGTCAAAATGATTAGTTCTGAAAGTGCTTCAAACAAATCTGTGAAATTCAACAAGGAAAAATACGTTAAAAGAAAGACAATAACTCAAAAGCCTAGGATTACTATTTCCAGTCTACTTTTAGAATTGCAAAATTAAATTAATATGATGAATACAAAAAGGTCGATCTAAATTTTTTATGAAGATTCCTTGATAGGACTTTCAGGATAGAAAGGAAACAGAAGTCCTGGAGCAGGGCAGAGGATGGGGAGAGAAGGGCTAGGTTGACTTTCTTCTTTTCCATCCCTCATTGTCAAAGAACAGACCCAAAAAGCACTTCAGTTCTGACAACACCAGTACAATAAGTCATCCGGCCTGGCAAAGCACCCCTGGCAAACTGCTTTAGCCAAAGACTGCTTTCTATCTAATGGGGAATGCCAAAGGCCAACCCAAAATCAAAAGAACCAGCCTGCCTCCGCACTCAATCACACAACAGTACAGATCCACAACAGCATTCAGGGCCACCTCTCTCATGAGCCATGAACATAATACATGACTTCCATCTGCTATTCACAGAGCTGCAGTCATGATCTCAACTGAATTTCACCAAGTTTCTGCAGAGACAACTAGTGCCATCTGCCAGATATAATGCAGCAAGAAAGCAACTAGCAGAATTTCCTGGAGTTTGGACTTGGTATCGTTATTACAACTCTGAGTTTTTTTGGCATGGCATACATTTTCTGCATAAGATACCACATCTCCCTTCCTCGGTCGGATCAAGTTAATTCGCATAGTCTAAATGTAAATCTTCTCAAACAGTATACTTACTTCTTTTTCCTTTATCTCCCCAAGTTTTAAAGTATTCTATAGTCTCTTTCTCAATTATTGATATATGATTTTTAAATTGATTTATATTCAGCCCAGTTTTTAGCATCTTCTTCTGTTCCAAAAATACCTTGAAAATAAACAAAATATTAATTTCAAAACAAAATATTTGGATTCTAGTAGCTTTCCTCAGACTGTCTGCCTGGGGCACTAGAATCGAAATTCCCAGAATTACAGGCATTTTTTTTAACCTTGCTTTTTTTTTTTTTAATATTTAGTCAATGCAAAGCAGCGAACATACCTAATACTCCTGCCTTCTATTTTCCCAACCACCCTGTGATCTGGGTCGGACTGAGAGAGAGTGAGAGTCACCCAGCCCAGCTCAAGTCGCCAGCTGTCAGCCTTGCGAGGTAGTCCAGAAAAAAAGCACATCCAGAAGTTCTAGCTCTATCTTTACTGGTTACATTAACAGAAACTTGCAAATCTAAAAGTACATCTCTCCCCCCTCACCTTTACAGCCCATGAAACTAGGGAGGGTCCTTTCTGAGACATTGCCATGTCCCCATTCCTTCTTCAGGCTCAGCTGCTCCTTATCTGATCAATGCCTAGTCTGCAACTCTTCCTCCTGTCTTTCAAGGCCATTCCCACTTACTATTACATCAGCTGAGAGTAGCCCAAAGTCACCCAACCAGCTTTCATGACTAAGGCAGGCCTAGAACCCACAGTCTTGAACCACTAAACCAGGGTAGGCAAATTTGTATTTGCAATACATTTGTTCTGTATTGCAAAGCCCAAGAAGACAGAAAGACTAATTAAATAAATGCCGCTTTACCTTTTTCCAAGACCAATTTTTCTTGATCTATTGCTCCGTCAAATAGAAAACAACTGACTGGGAAGGTAGAAGCCATGCCCTTGAACACACTGCCCTCTCATCTCAAATCCAGCCTACTTACTTTTTCCAAATGGAGCTCTTTGTGAACACAACCTATGTGCTTAGAGATCTCGAAGAAAAATGTTCTTTTACAATTAAACCTAATCTGTTGTGTCAATTTTTACATTCTATTTATATGATTTAGTACTGAAATTCTAGCTACAACAAGCAATTCATGTAACAATATACGTACTGCATTGGGTACATCATAAGCTACTCCCTTGCCAAAGACAGGAGTGGTCAGCCGTGAATACACTTCTTCTGCATTCAACTCTTCATTTTTACCATTGAACAAGAGAGCAGCTGCATCACTGCCCACGAGATAGGTGAAGGTCTTTCCCACCATAGTGAAGCTAAATACAGGCCCATACTGCAAGGGAGAAATTGAGGAGTTAGAAAATAAGGAAACAAAGAAAAACAGAATTTGTAGCAGGATTGCATGCACTGTAGTGAGTATTTCCACTCACATGGGAGTGACAAAATAAATACGTAAAACATGTGACAAAAGAAAACATGATCAAATAGTGATGCTCAATACTACATCCTCAGTTAACTTGTCATTTTGAAATCAAAGTCCTTTGCATAATTAGCTGGAAGCGTCTGACTAGTTACCAATGTACTGGAATGGTCCTTGCTCTAATTATAATAGCCATATGTAGACTATTTGGTGCCCATGTCATTCTTTTTCACCTTGTCAATAAAATATTGATTTCACATATTTTTATTTTAGTTAAATTATGGTTTAGATCAATGTTTTTCAAACTTGGCAACTTTAAGACGTGTGGACTACAACTCCCATGATGTCTGGGGAATTCTGGGAGTTGAAGTCCACACATCTTAAAGTTGCCAAGTTTGAGAAACACTGATTTAGATCACATAGTTTAAAGGAGCCTTCTTCAGCGAGCACTGCAAGAAGGTGCCTGAGAGAGCCCTCTCCTGCAGTGCTTTCTGAAGCCACCCAACCTGGAGCCCTA